TACAAATATATATACATTTATGTATGGGTCAAAGAAGTAATATAGACGGTAAAATCCCATAAAACACTGGATCCTAATGGAGGTATGTCCGTAGGATACGAATTACTTAAAATATCAAATGGGGCAAAGAAGTAATTCCAACAGTGTGGACAAGCTTAGGTTGTCAAATTTTCGGAGCGATCCGCTCCTTTTTCAAGACACAGTAAAACAGAACAGTTACATGTACATATACATCATATTACAAGAAGATAGAATTGATATACTATAATTGAAAATATAGCTATTATGTAAAACCCGGCCCGGTAAATGTGAAAAAACTCCAATTTGCTACGGAATGTCTCATTAGTCGCCTCTCAATACTGCGATGGATCTAACAGTCACAGCAGGGGGTCCATACTTAGTCGCCTCTTTTGGTTTGCAGGAATAATGCATGTGCCTCTTTTGGTTTGCAGGAATTATGCAAGTAATTATCAAATAAGTGAGTGCAGGAGGAATAAGTAGATGAAATGGCTAAGATACTGTATAAATCTGCAAAATTAATCTGACAACGGCTGTTGGTCACACACACTGACATGAACCAGCAGGCAGGCGAGATAGCAGCCCAACTGTGCAGTAATGCATCATTAGGTCAAATGCCCACTGGAAGGAAAACGAGCAGATGGCAACCGCCTCATAGGGTAGCGGGTTTGTAGATTGGTGATCCAAAACCGTTCTCTCGTACGTCGTCTCGTTTCATCCCATGAAGGGCAATGATCTATGGCAACAACCTGCATGTCTTTCTAACTATGGCTAGGCATAGTGCATCTTGCGCAAGAATAGGTCCTCTACATCAGCGTTCCTTGTCCGCGATGCTCTCAGCTTAATTGCTGCCTTCGGCTGTCTTTAGCCGAGGGGACTACTGATTAACTTATCAAATGCCTGAGGTTCTTTTTCCTTGCGCTTTCTGCAGGGCCTCTACCCTGTGTCAAACCTGTACCAACATTATTTTGCTGTTCCCTTAATAACTTATTTGTCCTACAGGTCCCTGTAAAGTATTCAACTTATCTTGCCTACTCACATGAGAATTGTAAATATGTTCCCTGTGACCATGTATCATATTATCCTGCCCCTACCAATAATCATGTTGATTGTTCATGTCTTGCAGGTCCCTGTGACACATCACTGTGCCCCTGCCAATTAACACGTGGTGTTTGTCACAGCCGAACTACTACCTAGCTGTGGTATATATCCACTTGTGTAGTTAACAATGTCTCCGTAATCAAATGTATCAGAAAGTGTTACAACAACCGAACCTTCCGCCATTTTTTATACAATCATAAACAAAATGCCAGTCCTCATTCGCTGCGAATACAACGTAAGAAAAATAACACTGGAATGGAAATAAACAGTTAAGATTACACGAGCAATGGTTCACGGCACCAATTATGTAACAGTTCGTAATGTCGTGTCTCAACGGAGCAACCCAGGTTCGAGGGGGTACCCGCGGTTCCGTCCTGTTATTACCTGTGTTCAATATAAGACGAGGTGGCAGAGATAAAATACTAGACAATGTTTATTTACACAAAGCAAGCGAAGTTAGACATGGTCAATGGTGCACATATTAGAACACGTACAATATATATATCACGTAAAATATCTTGTTACAACTACCATTATATTTACCGGAGCTAGACACATCCCCCATCTGCCTTATTCTACATATAATACAAACCCGCCATCCCGCAGTCACCGTCCTACACCTACCGTAGAGAAAACGGAAGATAGAAGAGAAGAATAAAAAGGTGAGCCTACCAGCCAATGGCTTCTATAGACTAACGTAACACACCCGACCACCCGAATGTATACCCAAAAGACCCAACAGAATCCTGTGCTATGCATGACATGGACCTAATTCAATACTTTAACAGCTATCCGATGAAAAACCTTATCGTAAAAATATCAACCAATGGACACAGCTCTATGAGCGGAAGTAGGTTTGCTTCTACATCCGGTAAAAACACAAGAAATATCAACATGTTATTCCATCCGAGACAAATCATTAAAGTATGGCAGAATATCAACACTTAAATGAAAACCAACCGTCACATATATACACAAGGTATGCTTACACGTTTACATAATGCAAAATACATAACTTTTAATGAATGACAGTGACAAAAATCCTATTCCCGGTACAACTGTTATATTTTTAGGATTAAGTTTTGAAAATTGTATCACTCTCAGGTGAAAATAATACACTACAGGGTACCATATATTTCCAAAAAAGTAGTCCCAAAATCTTATCTGCCATTTCCTTTTTCCATGAGCACATATTTTTTAAATTTGTTTTTGTAAAAGCTATTCCATGTGTCACAAATCAGTAGTCCCCATGTCCTTATAAAAATGATGAAGATGTGTTTTTTTAATATTTTGTAGATATTTTGAATATGTCAAGACTCATCAAAAATATTTGTAATAAGGCCTGTTATTTAGCTTCCTTATACAATAATGAACATTTTGATGTATTGGTTTACAAACCAATGACAATTTTAGAGCTAAAATCTTATGTCAACTTTTGCCTTAAATTGACTTTATGTCAGTTTTCAATCATAATTATTAGACTTTACATGAATTTTGATGTTCTACCACATATTTAAGATTAATATTTTTTGTCACTGGTAGTTTAGGACCTAGACCATCTATTATCAAAATATTTTTGGTACACAAAAGTTATACGATACTTTTATTCTAAGATGGAAAGTATCATGGCTTCTGGCTGTTGATTTGTCTGTACATATCTGATAACTAACCAAAGCAAGGGATTTTTAAATGTATACTGTAGTATATGACCCCTAGAAATTGAAATCAATGGAGGGGCCATTTTGGAACACCCCCACCCCTGTTAAGTCAAATTATCTTTAAGGTGTATCAACGATGTGCTTTCTTTACATAACGGAAAGTTTGTTGGACGCGTCGGAGAAATCTGCAGCCTGGAGTGTTTCTATGTCGTAGTATATTCTTCGATCAAGATCTTGCTCCGAATGTTTTGATTGTCGTGGAGGTTGTCGACTGATGAAGGACTGACTTGCATCACAGGGTTTCAGGGGATGCGGGGGTTGGTGGGGGCTGTCAGTGATTGTATGGTCGCCGTCATGATCTCTTAAGGAGATATAAGTTGTTAAAATACATTCATTTTAGGGGGGGGTATCCCTGTGGCTTTTCAAGTCGTTCTTATTTTACCCTAGTTTTGTCAATTTTGGGTCCAGGTTACGATCTTATTGTCGTTTATGAATTATTCTGTGCTTTAGTATTACTGATGAGTCATAAACGAACTAAGTAGACATATGGTGCAGTAAATGTTTACTTTGTTAATGTGCAGCTTAGTTTTATTAGCCTTTACATGATTCCTCACATCGTAATTATTTAACGTTACAAGTACTTCATTATGCTGGTGAAGTATCAGTCTCCATGGTTGTTTTGAACCTCTTAGCTGACATTTATTCTGCATTTAATTGGTTCACTACTAGTAAGGACAAAAATAGCGGTGGAAAGTTCCTTGGTTTGGAGTAGGGATCCAATTAATAGTGATAAGAAAATGGTTTACCGTCATTTCCCGTGATTTGTTTTTTATATTGCTACGATAAGATATTTGTGGTAAACTTGATATATATCTATGATAATTGGTTGATATTCCGAAACATCATGTTAAACAGTATAAAACGTCGTGTTTTATTATTAACATATCGTACTCTATTAGGAAACCTATGATATGTATCCTCTCTAAAGCGCTTTCGACATATTGGTTCCTCTAAACAACTTTCAATCAAGAAGGATTACATACGTAAGGTTTCAATGCCTCATTGTAAATGTTGCGTCTTTCCATTTTTGTTTACGCTAGGACTCCAACATGCATGTCAATTATATCTAATGCTAGATGCGTTTCCTGCAGAAAAGCAATTTTCAAATGTTGACATTTTAACTATTCATAGGGTCGTAATCTCTTTCTTTATCTCGCAACCGTTGCGAAATAAGAGACAGAATGGGTGTAATATTACGTCTAATCATTATTTATTTTATTGTTTACATGTTTATGATTTGTGTTTCTTCTCTCTGCACCTTCTGGTGATGGAGTAGTTCCTTGTCGAGATCCACTTCCTTCGCTTTCATTTTTTCCTTTATTTCTTCGGGGTTTTTTGCGTCTGCGTCCGCTTCCTTCCTGTCGTCCTTTTCAGTTTTGCTTTCTCTTTCGCTTTCACTTTCACCTCCGTCCTGTTCTGTGTCATACTTCTCCTCTCGCTCGCCTTTTTCACTCACACAATCCTCTTAGTTTTCCCTACTTATATTCATATTTCCTTACAATACCAGTCTAACCGACTTAGTTTCTCTTTGCGTATTAAAAGCATGAAATGTCTGGCTTTTGGGCAGCCTACCATGTCATACGCAACTCTGACTATTATAAATATTCTACTGAGCATGTTTAATCTACATACCTCCACATAGACTGGTGCTGTAAGGAAATATTTGGCGTTAGGTATGCACTTTTGTCCTATTATATTTGTGATTTACTCTACCGGTTTTGGTACCCCAAAACTTTTGCTTTAGTTTTTGCGCAAGTAATACAATAAGACATCTTAACAAATTAAGGAGTTGAAAATCCGGATATACAAGGGCCCAAAAAAGGGCCTTATAGACACTCATCTTTTACCGTTTATGCATAAACCCAAGATGTTTAGACAAGTCTGCTGAACGTTCAATTTCCCTTTGCATATTTTTGTGGATTTGTTGTCTGTCGAATGATATGTTTATGTCTGTTGTCCTGCCGGCATCACTTAAAAGTGTATACATTAAGACGTTCTAATGTGATGTCAGTTTCTTGTTCGAAAATTCAAAGCATTTCCAAAATATTTTGACCAAATAGAATAATTTTTAATCAACTGTCTTCTTTATCCAGTTAATTGTACTCCTTTGAAATATGTTACTTGTATACTAATATGTAAACAAAATATATAACGAAGGCCTCCAGTATTTATCGTTTTATTTAATTCTTATACTGCTCATCAATGTAACATGTCCCAAATAACAAAGTTACAGCTATGACCAATGACTTATTAATAAATATTATACTAAAAACAGCACAATATTTCTGTTTTAGTATATAAAGTGTATCTATAGAATAATATAAAACGTTTGGAATAAAATATTTTCTCTCTCTAGCCAACTATTGGTTGGTACTGGGGAAACGGAGCTACCAGATATCCCGAGAAAGTACAGTACACCTCATCATTCCTGCCAAAGAGTCCGGAACTACCTCTCACACTTACGTACACCTGGTCACCCGCAAGGAGGGAAAGTGTAGCCGCATTACTTCCGGCGGAAAACGAGCTTGCGTCAAAAGCATAGGCGGAAGTGACATATTTATAATTATGGTAAAGATCAAGGTAAAGTTCTTGTCCGTTTTGTGAAAGACCATGAAAATGGAATATGTAAACTCCGTGTAATTTGGCGGTGAATACCTTTGTATTCATGTCAAAGCCCCTCCCATAGTTCGTGTAGAGACGATCGTAAGGTACCTTGGAATGAGCTGGTAGGCTAATGTCGTGGGTTAATCCAACAGTAAACGCCATTTCTTCAAACTCTGCAAATCAATACACTTGTTATATACTTAAAGTATAGATATGATGTACGTCGACATGAATAGCAAGATATTTTCTTTTAATTCTCAAATTTTTTATACATGTTCTTTAGCCTGTTAGACTAACATCACGCGCAAATCATTATTTTATTTATTGAATGAATGTGCTGTCTGCACATCCAGTCATGTTTCCTTGCTATCCCCGTATTCATAGTCCGTTCCAAATATCAAGTTTGACCACTCAATTTAAACAGTAAATTCCTGTTAAATAAAGCGCCTAAAACACGATTTTGAATCAATGGTGTTTCATTTGTCAACACGAGCAGGTTATGACCGAGACAACATTCTTGTGAAGGAAGGTGCGCAGTACAATATCACCAAATTGTGTTCGACAAAGTAATATGTTATGCATAACGCATCGTATAATATGCTATGATAAAAGCATATGGTATCGAATAACTCAAACACAATTCCCAGTTCTAAAAACATCACATTGATTGCCTGCAATGACTAAAAATAATATTATCGATGCCGAGTTAGCAATGGGGCCCCAAGAGGGGGGGTTGGATTTTGTGAATTTCTATTCGTCTTTTGAAACCAAAGAATACGATTTTGTTCAGGTCCGTTTTGAAACTGATAAAATCACCTTATCAGTAATTATCATAATTGTTTACACGCATGTAGATATTATAATGAACATATCTTATAATTAGCTGATCTGTCAACAATAGTACCTTGTCAAATGGATATTCAAGAGGGTGGCGAGACCGATCCAAATGGATATATGGGACTACAGGTTTTTTTTATACAATCATGGTATACTTTTATCAAAGTTTCAAATAGAAATTATAAACCAAGACATGTATTCATTCATATCTAAACATCTAAACATCTTATATTTTGCAAAAAAACACCTATGTATATTGATCAAATCTTAATGCGGTGGACCACTGATGGTCGTTGTGACATTTGTGATCGAAGAGATAGTTTGCGCCACACACACGCACACTTCATATATTGTAATGTGCATCTAATGTGATAATTAAGTTATTCCTTATATAAACCTATATCAAATCAATATTAACGCCTTTATTATTACTCCACCCACTAAGCGAACGCATTTTTTACTATGAAAATTATCCGGAAACAAGTAAATACATGTAGTACGTCACTTTACATTTTAATTGGTTTATTTGAAAAGAGTTTATTCCCATTTCTTTTATCATACTAGCTGAAACTTGTAATGTAAACCCTAATAACATTGAATCTGGCAAAGTTTTGATCTTAGCTGAAAAAAGCAGCATTTTCTTTATTCAGATTTGTTTGATACGGACGCCGCGAACGATTTATGTTTACATGTCCTTAAGATATGTCGAATTTCACACAAAAAAAAAACAAATTTTAAAACATTTGGAATGTTGAAGGTACGTGGGGTTTTAATAACTGTTATACATATTATTTTTAAATATTACGATAGATGTTCGGTATTTTACCTGTTATGGATATTGTTAGGATAATTTACCTGTTGCTGGTTTTTCAGTTCCTGGTAGACTAAGTGAAAGGAGTGCACCAGAGAAGGTAGCATACACTTCGGTAGGTTTACCAAAAATCTCAACGTCATTTCCGGGTCTCGCCTTGATAGTCACATGATCGTTCTGCATCAGACGAAGAATGGCGGTGTTTCCGGCGTCACCAAACTCGTTGGTGGTATAGGCGTAGGCCGCAAGCACATACTGGTCGTTGTTAAACAACTCTATCCAAACTTTCTAAAAATAGAAATGTAAATTTAAATTGTATATAACACAACGCTATTGATTCTTTATGTTTAGGTAACTTTATTACCGTTAACATCTTATATGTTGATACAACGAGTACATATGCATACTATTTATTTACTCGTTTATTTCATTTTTCAAAATATTAAGTTCAATGCATCAGTGATGACAAAACCATAATATGTTAATGATGCTTTGTTGCCCACACAATGTACATGAGCATATCACACAATGTACGTGATCATTACACACAATAATGTCACGTCTTCAAAGCGAGAACCGGGGGTAGGGACAACAACAAAACAAGGCAGTTTTGAGCATTATAACAGAAAAACGTAATATAAAACATATTTTTAAATGATCAAAATGATGCCGACCATAAAACTCGCCCGTAATGTGCATTAAGCTGATATTCCACTGCTGGCCTGTATCTTATGTAATCAATGTAATAAATATGCTACTAGTGTTCGTATAATGTTGCAACTGGCAACTGACGTGTGTTGACACCTGGCTTAAGAATTATTGTAACTAAAGATGACATCAGATGAAATTATTACTAGAAAGTGACAATTTTATTTTTAGAAATTTTAGAACTAATCCCGCGATCGTCGATTATTTTGGTCCATTAAGAACATTGTTGCCAACCTTTTGCCAGCACGTACAGTGGCACGTCATTTTCTTCTCGGTACTTATCAGTCTCTAGATAAAATGTTCGTTTAATGAATTGATCATATTTTATCGTATCTTAACAGATAACGTTAAGTATCAGATGATGTGAGAATAACGAGATCAATCAGCGATATGTATGATGTATCCCTATGTGTCCTTCAAGTCCAAAGCATTGAGCAAACAAGTTTGAAAGCTGCAAGAAAACAGCTCATCTTGTATGGTGCTAGTCTAACTAGTAAAAGAATAATACAACAAAAAAATAATGATTGCCTCAAAAGTTGTAGTCTTAGATACACGACATTAAACAGCAGTTTCCTTGGGATTGACTTCTTAATTAAGAAATGAGCATGTTGTTAGCCATGACCTATGCTTCGGCTTAAATGATAAGCCTATGAATCGTTGATGATCGCAGTCGGTCTTTTTCAATTTTGAGTAATACCATTGACTTGTTTTGAGCACCAGCAACGTTTAGAGGATTATGAAGTCACATCACTTATAGACCTAAATGAAATTATCGTTCAGGTCAGATGTTTAATAATAGAACACCCCCGGTAGATTTTAGGACTTTTGTTACATACATTGATGGAAGATTTAAAGAAGATCAATAAAGCATATTTTGTAAAACAAATATCTACCTATCACTACCTTCTAAAGATACCAAATTTGAAATGTTCAATACTAAGACAACCTGCCTATCAAGACCACTTTTCTATAAAAACTTTTCTTTCTCTTTAGTCTTTCAAATAAGCATTGAATCTGGATTTTCTCAACGTTAATGAAAGTATAAACGGGGGAATCGAATTACTCACCACATGAGCGGCCATAGCAAAGCGAGGGCCGTCCATGTGAAACATGCAAGTATTATCTTTCATTTGTTTGTCGAGGTAGGATCATTTGGTGTAGTGATTCCAGCTCGTCATCCTTCGGAAATTGGATGATAGAAGACTCTTACTCGGGCTCTTAGTGGCGTAAGCCCGCTACTGTTTACTTGCAATACTCTATAGAACGGCTCTATGATACTTTTATATTTCAATTATCTCATTTTCCAGAAGGGTATTCATAAATTGAAACATAATACACAAATCAGTATATATGTATGATATTGATTAAATAACAAATGTGTTAGATATAATGATTTCAGTGCATACGTGCACACATCATACTGATATCAATTACAAAAGTATAACTATGGTCTCGCATTATTATAAATAAAGTACACGTGATAACGTGATAGAAATATCAGAATTAAAGTGAAAGCATAAACGACATAACACACGTGGTTGTTGGGTATGAACACACTCAATACATTACAATAAATAAAGTACACGTGATAACGTAATAGAAATATCAGAACTAAAGTGAAAGCATAAACGACATAACACACGTGGTTGTTGGGTGTGAGGACACTCAATACATTACAAACCTAATAATTAAGCAATGAATGTTTTAGCAAATGTTGGTATGGTAACACACATTGCTATTGATGTAGATGACAAGTTTAATAAAGCCTGGTAAGTTTGTCAGCAATACGAATATGTGTTATAGGACCATACAAATATTTGCTAAACTATTCATTATTTATATTTACATTTTGATAGAGTAGTTATGCTTTATGTAGTTATTTTGAACAGTTTTTGAACAGCGAATCAAGTGTTGACAACAATAAATTGATGATGTCACAATAGAGATTGATGACGTTACAATAGCAAATGTTGTTAAAGTCATCGCAATGCATTGCAATGGAAGGATGCAGAGCAAGTGTAAGTATAATGTACGTACGACACACTTTTCTTATGTTAATATTTCACATATTTCACACGTCGATGTGATTCGACAGTATAGGGGTTGGGGATGGTATGTAGGCAGTTGTTGACAATAGTGCTTTTATTGAATGACTACATAGTCATGACATTAATGTTTTGTTTTAACACTTAAGCTGCGGAGGTAGTACTAGCATGATTGTGTGTATCATGATACTTACATTGTTAGCTTTAGACAATGCATGGAAATGGAATATGTAGAGTCCCTCATGTACTGCTACGAATTCATGGGCTGTGAAGTTGTAACCGCCTTCACTGGACCTGTTCATGAGGTCAACGTCAAATGGTACATTAGAACCATTTAGAATCGTCTGATGGTGATCCAGACCCACAGAGAACCCAGTCGGAATATTCCTGTCGATTTCTTCTTGCTCTATAATACACCAAATACAAGCTTTGTAAAATTCTATCCGATAATTAGTCGTACGTGTTTTAGATTTGAGGACAACTATCAATATACGATTGCTCTATGACGCGCAATCGTAAAGAATAATTCCATATGTGTAACAATGTAAGCCGTTCCAGTTACTTTTAAGGTCTGAGTCAATGCGTTTTACACCTTCCAACGCAAACCTTCAACTCCGCCTGCAAACAAACGATCGTAACAAAGCATTATTGCACCCTGCTATCATAAGATATACCAATCTTCCTGTAATATATGGTCGAAACAGTGCAGTGTGACACTTACCATAATACCCTGAATCGATCAAAACGCCTGTAAATGTCGTGTAAATCTGGTCATTTTTTCCGTATAAGATATTCTCGTATTGGTCGTGTGCCTTAACGTAAACAGTGTCACCACTAGTAAGTTCCAATATCACAGAGTTGCCAGCGTCAGCGTATCCATTTGAACTGGAGGAATGAGCATAGGCCGACGCCACTAGGTTATCATTCATCATAATCTCCAACCATAGTCGTGTGTTGACTTTGGTAAGGGAGTAGAAATGAAAAGCGTAAAGCCCTGCAGTATCGGCTGTAAATACACCGTTGGTATCGATGACTGAGTTGAACTTCGTGATGAGTTTGTTATAGCTGAGGATTTCGCCCTGGGTTAGATAAAGATGGGATGTTTGTCCTTGCGTAAAAGCGACAACTGGTATGTAGCTCGTCACAAAGTCGTCGCCATCTGAAAAACAGTAAGTTAACAATGCACAATCATAGGATGATATATAGCACGTTGATGCGTGTTGAGAAGGTGACTCGGCTTACAAGAACTCTTTACCTTGCGATAATATCATCTTTTACATCTTCTATCGTAGATGTGGTCTTATAATTACTAGTTACGGGAATGGCGTTAGCTGACTGCAAAGCTTTTACATTATATCACAGCCTTCATCTTAATTCACACTAGTACAAGTAAATCTGATTTACATAAAGCATGGCATACATGTCCTATTGTCCAGCTGTCTTATTAACATAAAACACGTTCTACATGTCATGGTGCCCAGCTGTCTTATTAACATAAAACACGTTCTACATGTCATAGTGTCCAGCTATATACATAAAACACGTTCTACATGTCAAAGTGTCCAGCTATATACATAAAACACGTTATACATGTCAAAGTGTCCAGCTATATACATAAAACATGTTATAAATGTCATAGTGTCCAGCTATATACATAAAACACGTTATACATGTCATAGGGTCCAGCTATATACATAAAACATGTTATAAATGTCATAGGGTCCAGCTATATAGTGAGTTTCTACCACAATACGCTGTGTTATTCCACTCTCAGATCATTGTATAAACACGCAGACTGTTAGATAAATATGAGTTATATACCACACGTGGTATATGACCTACACGATTTTTGATTGGTCAAGGATGAACTTTGACCGGGACGACTTTTTCCACGCGCTTTTTGCCACAATCTGTTTTGTTTACGTCGTCTGCTGTCAANTAGCTATATACATAAAATATGGTATACATGTAATGTTGCCCAGGTATTTTATTTACATAAACACGTTATACATGTCATAGTGTCCAGCTATATATATAAAACATGGCATACATGTAATGTTGTGCAGGTATATCATTTACATAAACACGACACGTTGTACATGTCATAGTGTCCAGCTATATACATAAAAACGTTATACATGTCATAGTGTCCAGCTATAAACACAAAACACGTTCTACATGTTATAGTGTCCAGCTATAAACATAAAACATGGTATACATGCAATATTATCCAGGTATTTATTAATCAATTAATTAATTTATTTCCAATTCAACAGACCCAAGGGTCCACTTACAGAATGGATAACAACATTACAACACAAGTATAAAATATCACAGTCAGTTATGCATGTAACACAGACTAAAAGATGCTCATATGTAAAACAAAAGGAATTAGTGATGGTCAGGTATTTTATAAAACATGATATACATGTAATGTTGTCCATGTATAATATTTACACAAAGCATGTTATACATGTAATGTTGTCCATGTATAATATTTACACTAGCATGTTATACATGTAATGTTGTCCATATATAATATTTACACAAAGCATGTTATACATGTAATGTTGTCCAGCTATAATATTTACACAAAGCATGTTATACATGTAATGTTGTCCATGTATAATATTTTCACAAAGCTTGTTATACATGTAATGTTGTCCATGTATAGTATTTACACAAAGCATATTATACATGTAATGTTGTCCATGTATAATATTTACACAAAGCATGTTATACATGTAATGTTGTCCAGGTATAATATTTACACAAAGCATGTTATACTGTAATGTTGCCCGGTAATTTATTTACATTAAAAACGTTATACATGTCATATTGTTCAGGTTCTTTTTTATTTACAGTTAACATTTACGGCCCGGCTATGTGATTGAAATACATTCTTAATTAATACTACCGAACCAACTCAACATCTTACTAGCAAAACACTGGCAAGCGCTGCGATGATATTTGCGCTTAACTTTATCTATATTAGATATTAACCTACCGACCAAACTGCTTTAGTTACTGTAATTTTTACCCATAACCTTCATGCATGTAAATTACACAAAACATAGTTTATGTTTAGGTATCTTACATACATCATCTTAATAATAAATTGCTTTTCACGTCTCATAAAGCCAAGTTCATAACGTGAACTTGATACAGATTTGTTAAGCTGCAATGGGGACAATCTGAAAGCCAAGATCTTATATCAATAGTAGTGAAGGTTGTACATGGCGAATTCGGCTCTACCCTCTTTTTAGTGACATACTTACGTGTCCCTGCAATAGAAACAGCCGAAGCGAAAAGTATCAAAACAATATTCATATCTGTATGAGTTTGTATATGTAGTTAGACACCACCAGCCTGCCTTTGGCAAATATCTGACCACACTAGTCCACCGTAGACTGGTGACATATGCAGTTTTCACATACGCAAGATCCCTACGATCAAACTAACCCACATGTTTAACATATAATCTCTGAGAAAATGAACACATGCGTTTATTGTATTCGTAATGTCTAAAGGAATGGTTATCATGTATTAGATTGTATATGACCGACAAACAGACTTTCTGTATAAGACAATGTTAAGGTATTCTTGGATGATAATCTTTGCAAAGACGTTATGTAAATACCACCCTTTTATTTGTTCAATTATGTGCATATTGCTTGCTTAAATGAATAAAAGTGATTGTAAGCCTTTGTTTTTTGTTTTCACAATTATAACCATTACTATTATCCATATGTTGTAAAGCGCTTTAGAGTATTTTTACAAATTATATAGGGCGCTATATAAATGTTGTATATTATTATTATTATTATTATTAATGTACATCATAAGGACTTTTATTCTTTCAGAACAAACCATACAGCTTCTTTTTTGTTTCCATTTTCAGTCAGTTCCTGAAAGAAGGTCTATTTAAAACAAACTTGACATTTGAAGACTACATGATTTTCGGGGGGAGGGGGGCAGCCTATTAAATTCCGATGTTACAGGTAATATAAAATGCAAACACTTTTAATTCCTTAACATTTGTTATTTTGAAAATTATAACAATCGGGTCATATTTGTCTAAATGAACCACTGAGAGGAAATATATCACCGAGCCAATCGGTTTATACAACTGTGAAACTCCCAAGAAGCTAATTAAAATCACTTTGCATCGAAGGAAAATAAATAACAGGAGTAACCTCCCTTTAATCAGACTGTAGACAACCTACTTTTCGCTGTTTGGTTTACAACGATTTCTAGGTTCCATTTTGTATTTTCATGTGCGAATTTAACATTGTTTTTAGTTTCATACAAAAGGCACATCATGGATCCCACTGTAATTGTGAAATCAGTAATCTATATACAAACTGAAAGTGAAACTTACGATAATAAATTATCAGCAAGGGCAAACATTTTACTTCCGGGTCGTTGTACACGAATATAGTGCAGAGACAATTTATTGAATATATTTCGTAATACTGTGCATTAATTCACTTATTTCAGAATGAAAAGGGAAGAAAAAATAATGAATTGATTTCTGCCGTTCCGAAATAATCNATAAAACATGGTATACATGTAATGTTGTCTAGATATTTTATTTTCATAAACACGTCTTATTTACATTAAACACATTATACATGTGATAGTGTCCAGCTATATACATAAAACATGGTATACATGTAATGTTGCCCAGGTATTTTATATACATAAACACGTCTTATAAACATAAAACACGTTATACATGTCATAGTGTCCAGCTATATACATAAAACATGGCATACATGTAATGTTGCCCAGGTATTTTATTTACATAAACACGTTATACATGTCATAGTGTCCAGCTATATACATAAAACATGGCATACATGTAATGTTGTGCAGGTATTTTATTTACATAAACACGTTGTACATGTCATAGTGTCCAGCTATATACATAANTTGTCCAGCTATAAACACAAAACACGTTCTACATGTGATAGTGTCCAGCTATTTACATAAAACATGGTATACATGTAATGTTGCCCAGGTATTTTATATACATAAATACGTCTTATAAACATAAAACACGTTATACATGTCATAGTGTCCAGCTATATACATAAAACATGGCATACATGGAATGTTGCCCAGGTATTTTATTTACATAAACACGTTGTACATGTCATAGTGTCCAGCTATATACATAAAAACGTTATGCATGTCATAGTGTCCAGCTATAAACACAAAACACGTTATACATGTCATAAAACATGTTATAAATGTCATGGAGTCCAGCTATATAGTGAGTATATACATAAAACATGGTATACATGTAATGTTGTCTAGATAATTTATTTTCATAAACACGTCTTATTTACATTAAACACATTATACATGTGATAGTGTCCAGCTATATACATAAAACATGGCATACATGTAATGTTGCCCAGGTATTTTATATACATAAACACGTCTTATAAACATAAAACACGTTATACATGTCATAGTGTCCAGCTATATACATAAAACATGGCATACATNGGTCAGGTATTTTATAAAACATGATATACATGTAATGTTGTCCATGTATAATATTTACTCAAAACATGGCATACATGTAATGTTGTGCAGGTATTTTATTTACATAAACACGTGGTACATGTCATAGTGTCCAGCTATATACATAAAAACGTTATACATGTCATAGTGTCAAGCTATAAACACAAAACACGTTCTACATGTGATAGTGTCCAGCTATAAACATACAACATGGTATACATGCAATATTATCCAGGTATTTATTAATTAATTTATTTATTTATTTATTTCCAATTCAACTGACCCAAGGATCCACTAACAGAATGGATAACAACATTACAACACAAGTATAACATATCACAGTCAGTTATGCATGTAACACAGACTAAAAGATACTCATATGTAAAACAAAAGGAATTAGTGATGGTCAGGTATTTTATAAAACATGATATACATGTAACGTTGTCCATGCATAATATTTACACAAAGCATGATATACATGTAAAATTGTCCATGTATAATATTTACACAAAGCATGATATACATGTAATGTTGTCCATGTATAATATTTACACAAAACATGATATACATGTAATGTTGTCCATGCATAATATTTACACAAAGCATGATATACATGTAAAATTGTCCATGTATAATATTTACACAAAGCATGT